CAAGCTCCCTGTGGAATACTTCCAGGACCTTGTTGAATCTATGCCACGAAGAATTGAGGCAGTTCTGAAGGCAAAAGGGGGTCCAACCCATTACTAGCATGCGGTACCTAATAAAGTGGCCGGTGAGTGTATACTGACTTTAGAAAGTAGTTTGCATTTATCAATGAAATTTTCCAGGCTGCTAATAAAGTGTGTTCCTAAAATTTTGAAAACTTTGAAAGTAAAGAATCAGGCGTATACTGTAGTTTGCAAACATGCGGTTTAGCATAACAGCATGATCTTTGTAATTCCTATTTAGTTGGAAAAAAGAGGTTAGAGATATGAGTCAGTGGTTTCACAATTCAATCAATAATGCTTTTAAATGTTGTCTTATCAACATCATTACAGTGGGTGGATATTTTATTTTTACCTTTTTTAATTACTATCATCCCTCCCTCTTCAAATGCCATGAGAAATAATAATTTAGGATTTTTTTTTTTTTTTTTTTTTTTTGTTATCAGTATCTCACTGCAGTTCTCTGTTATCCCAGGACTGGGGATCTTTTCTGCTGGTTTGGGGCCATTATTTATATAAAAATATATATATTATTAGCCACTACATTGATATAGTCAACAATTGTATTTTTGCTCATCAAATATTCTGAATAATTGATTTCTTTGGATCCTTTTCTAATAACTTTACAATTTATATTTTGTATTTTTATATTACTTTTAATCTTTTCTAATAGCTTAGTATAATGTTCCTTTTTAGATCTCCTTAAAAATGTGTTTCACCAGGCCAGAGCAGCTAAGGGCTTACTGTAACACAATCCTGGTTGACCAGAAATAAAACATACCTCCTCTAAAACACATCCCTGTCCCCAGACCTTAATCCTATAAAAAAAAAACTTTAAATTCTCCATCCATGCATTAAGCATTCTCAAACTGAATGTTTAAATTTTGTGGATTATCAGTATAGGTTTATTCTAGTGTAACAAAAACATTTGCTGATTTATTGCACATATATTTATAGAGGGGGCAGAAAATGTGTACGATTTACCTTCTAGGAGCTCAACTTTTTGATGGATCAGGATCTGGTCGATCTATAACAGAAGACAAAGAGCGGACAATTCTTGCTGAAGAAATATTAACCTATGATTACTTTTCCCATGCTTAAAAAAAGAAAAACATAACAAGCATATATAAAATATTTTTAGTGAAAACTAATATATATCAAGAATATTTGCTTGGGGAAAAAAAAAAAACCTCCACGAATTAAGGCAGTACATGCAGTCTGTCTCATATGGGTAATTTTACATTATTTCATCCAAGTCCACAGCTTCCTGCCTTGGGAATTTTGAAAAATGATTAAGAGAAAACCTGAGACTAACAGATTTTTTTTCTGTTTGTATCAAAATTCAAAAGGCTATTGAACAGGAAAAGTTTATATCAAGTTTTAAAATCTTGATATGTGACTTAGACATTTCAAAAGCCGCAGTCAGACTTTTAATAAGCTTTGATAAGTTTAGTGTGAGCAAGATTGAAGTGAAATAACAGTGCATGTGCTGTTTAACAGTGTTGGAGATTTGCATGAACAACATGATGCTTGGGGGGACACTGGGTCCAAATAGCCTTTTTAGTGTTTCATCAACCTAAACTTAAAGCTATTGTTCCCCAAAAGATGGGCAGTAAGCAAAACCTTTTACTACAAACAGTGGGGCAATGGAAATGTTGACAACAGGCACCATTCACATATTGTTATCCAAAAGAATCCAAGTTGTGTAAGTTAATACGATATTTCCTCATTGTCTGACCTACCTGTGTGAGGTACTCAAGCCCAGGTGGAACACCAATTGGCGTCATACCGAAACCCATTGGTTGCTGGCCAAACCCCCCAAGTGGAGCACCACTTGGAGCCATTCCGAACCCCCCTGGTTGCTGGCCATACCCCAACCCATGACCCCCAGCTGGGTCGGGTTGATACACAACAGGAGGTTGGCCCTGAAATACAGTGATACATCATCTCTTACTGATTCAAAACTGATTTTAACAACTTTTAGAAGGATAATAGAATATACTGCATATAGTACAAGTTAACCAAGAATTTTATATGACAGGCTAACACAACATTGGGCAAAATCGGAAAGCAAATATTTTAAAACATTTCAGAAACAGTACAGAAGAAACTTTATTGTAAATTTATAAATAAAATTAGACAACTAGCAGTGCTTTTTAATTTTAATCAAAATAAAGCTGCATTTTTTGACTTAAAGACAAAATAAAAAATAAATGCAAATTTTACAAATGTTCACTCACTCTCAAGAGTGTTGAATTTGAAAATAAATTGAAATGAAAAATAAAAAAACATTTTACATTAAATTTTTAAACATGACAGGCAGAAATTTATTTCGTAAAAAAAATAAATAAGTGGAAATGCTTCTTAAAATTCAAAATTATTGTTGTTTTTTTACTCATGAACAAAATGACAAATATATAATCCCCACTGGATTTTTGCTTTCTTCTCCAAGTAGCTCATTGCTTACTTAATTAAAATAGTTAAAGGGATGTTTAACATTTAATTTTCAAAAGATATCCTAGCAACAGCTTTTAAGAATTTATGTTGAGATTCACAAATTAATATATAGATGTACGGTATTAAAAGAATTGCTTTCTCAATTCAACGGCAAAGCTGCATTTTTGACTCAAAATAAATTGCTAGTAGATCATTCAAACTAAATTTGTATTTACTTCTTCAAGACTACCTGTTATGTGACAGAACTTAAGAGAGAGCTAAAAGGATTTGCTTTTTCATTTTAATGCCAGTCCCTCCAAAAAGTGTGCCATAAACATTTGAACAGGCAATTCCAAACAGAGCAAGAGACAGAAGTCAATGGAAACTTGGACTGTCAGAGCTTTGCGGTGCTTTTAAAATAAAATTTAAATTAAATTTTTATTTTTTATTTTTTTTGCCACTTTTTGTAGAAACATGTTTTGCTTTCCTGGGAGCAGATGTTTGCTCTGAACAGGATTTGCACTTGTGTTGAAAAGGAACTGCATCTGTGAGTTTTATTACTTTTGATTTTATGAGTAAAGCATTTACATTTTCTCTGAAGTCAATGTTATGTATTATCCGCATAGCTCTCAATAGCAAGTAGTAGTAGTAATAGTAACATATATTAAAAGTATGAACTGAAATCTCAGTGCAGTGATTTAAATCCAGTGATGATATTTGGTCCAGGAGGTTTTTTCTTTAGCTTAGTACTGAGAAACTCCATGACAGCATGTTTTCTACATGTTTGACATGACATTTTTATGCTAATATTGCATCCACAATTGCACCTAGAAATCTATTTCCATTTACTTTTACAATATCTACCACATCTACCAGTATTAATGCTCAAGTATTACTTTTACAATTTCTAAATAATATGAATTTAGTTTAGTTTAAACAATAAAAATAATGTTTCCATCAAATCCCCTGTTTAATTTACACAGTTCTACAGTAATCATCCATTTTTCCCTGAACAAAAAATGGACTTTCATCTGAATCCGTATAAATCATTATTGATAGTGCAAGAACAATTTCTGTTTGCTTAGGAATTTGCATAATCTGTCGTTTAATGTTTTGTTCTTGAATTTCTGAGGACTGTGATAGTAGAAAAATGGGCCTGTAATTCTCTATTCTTAACCTTTTTTACAATTCTCATGCCAGTGTAATTAAAATTAGTAGATGTTTCATCTTTACACTTTTTAACAATATCCATTATTTCTTTTTGTTCCAATGCTATGAGAAAAATTAAGAATTAATTTCTATCCATAAGAAAATCGTCCCAATCCTAAAAGAAACATTGATCAGATTTTTTTTTGTTGCCATGTTTAGTCTATCACTTAGAAAAAGTAATTAAACTATTAACTATATCATCCATATTTTCTTTTTTTTTTATTGTTATCAATAAAACGCTGGTCTAGAGGCATTTTGGATTTCCCATATTCCTTTGATATTTATCATAGCATTGCTATTCAATAACTCTAACTATATTGCTTCATTTTTTTTATTATTTTATATTAGGGCTCTGACTTTTTAGTTATTTATTTTATAAGTTCTCAATAAAGTTTTTTTTTTTTTTTATATATAGATATTTTTTTTTAATCCTTGGTCGATCTGTATGTTTTCTACTATATTGCTTAAGATACTAGTTTTCTTATATAGTGATGTTAATAACCTTAAAAGTAAGTCATATGCATTCTCAATATTATTCTGTTATAGGTTAAGGTCCTGTCAAAATACTTAACTGGTTTTTATTTTTGACTTTAAATAGGAAATAATAATATAGTTTAACTCAAGATGTTACCACAACCAGCTAAACTACAAGCAAAACACACAATAAACAAATATTACCACTAAGGGATTAAAAGAACAGAAAAACTATTTTTATCTTTTAACATCAGGACGTCTTGTCATTCAAATTTTTATGCAAATCTCTCGGGAAATTCAAATGGTGTTGAACACAGAGTCCCATAATGTTTTTCTTGGACTGCTTCAGAAAAGACTGCAAATACAAATTTTAACCATATAGTCACACCAAATCAGCATTATTTGAGACTTTCTGCCTTCCAGACATCATGACCGACTTAACTGTGGGGTAAAACTGAAAAGAAGAGGATCTCAGAACCAGAATGCAAAGCACTAAACGATTAAAGCAGCTTGTTTCTTATCTGATGATCAGAAGATATGCCAAGTCATTTATTAACAACAAAAAGATTAATTGAAAGACAGTAGAAGAAGTGCATTACAGTACTCTCTGTGAGAGTAGGCTGCTACTGAGCATCTGTTTAGTCTCAATTATGTTACCTCTGCATGGTGGGAGCACAGAACTAGCAAATGCCTGAGCCCGGCACAAAGGGAGGCCTTTTACAGGATAGGGAGTAAACAGGTAACGTTAGATGAAGTGTAAGAAGTAGTGGTAGTAAACAAAGTATATTCCCTATTAGTTTGTATGCCTTGTCCTTTAAAGGACAATTACGAGTTCATATATATGTATGTGTGTAAGAGTTTATGTATATATACAGTATACATATACACATATATATAGATTTATATATATATATATATATATATATATATATATATATATATATATATATATATATATTGTTTTTTAAACATATTTAAAGTGTTGTAAATGCTTTCCACTTTGCTGATGTGAGTATTTATTATGTTGTTATTCTGAACTGTGTTATCAATGCATCATTATATTGATTATGGGTTAACCATTTAAATTTATTTTACAAGAGTACATATAATATATGTATACTATAAAAAAATTATATATATATATATACATTGCTCTAGCTACTTTGTTTGTACGTATAGCAGCTAATTATTTTACAACCACAATTAATTATATAACAATGGTACATTAACTGAGTTAATTAAGAAAAAAACGTTTATGTTAGTCATATTGAGGTCACATTGAGGTTTCAATTGTAGCATTGCCTTGGCATGTTGTTATCTGACGCTGCAGATAGGGCTGCACCAGATCCTTAAGATTTGACCTCGACCGTTGGCTTCTTGGACGCAGTTCAGCGACGGCTTCCTGCTGTCCTTTAGTGTCTGATTTTTTTCTTGTTGTAAGTCTGCTCAGCTTTGTATTTTTTTGTTTGTGGGGACAGACTAACAATTTTCATTCATTCTGAGTTTGTGTGTGGTGTGTTTTGTCTTTGGTTTGCTTCCCGGAATATACGCTTCCCATGTTGCTGTTGATGCATGTCTGAGACCTGATCCTGCTTCGAGTGTGATCTTGGGTTTAAATTGTATGTCATCATTCTGCATTCAATAGACAGCAGTTTAGTGTCTTACGTCGGTTTGTCTGCCTGGAGTTGTATAAAATCGGGTAGAATGTTATTGCATTGACAACAAAGGGATAACGTTTACAGGAGATCCCGTTCTATTGGTGACAAAAGGTATTGTTAACTTTATTATTGGTTTTTACTACCCTTATAAGCATATAATTATCAATAATTACACTATAGATCGTTGTAGTGTCACCAAACTTGTAGCACACATAGATAACCTCATCTAGTTCAGACTGCAACTCTTACTTTGGTAAAATGTGCTAAACTCTTTTTTTTTTTTTTTTTAGATTTTTACGTTGTTATTATAAGCATATAATAGCCAATAATTACACTATAGATCATTGTGGTGCCACCACATATAGGATACATAGATAACCTCATCTGGATCATACTACAATTCTAACTTTAGGAAGATAGTTCAAACCGTATTTTTGGAGATTTTTTTTACTGCAATTGGGAAAATGTGCTAAACTCTATGTTTTGAGATTTTTTAACTGTTATTATAAGCATATAATTATCAATAACTACACTCCTATGAACTGCAGCCACACCAAAATCACTGTATACCTCATTCACACCATCCTGGTGATTCTACAACTCTTATTATATCAATTAAATACTTCTTTTTTTATATTTTGGGGGATTTTTTTATTTGGATAAATAATCAATAAGTCCACCATTATGAACTGTGACTTCACTAAAATCACTGTACACATCATTCACACCCTCCTGGTGATACTACAACTGTTATTATATCAATTGAACACTTTTTTATATTTTTTGTGCCCTACACATCTCATGTAGAAGGGCTGGTCATATCACAGGTTAATTACTTTACAATAGGGACAGTGACAAGGTAGAGTGATTACAGAAACTTAAAGAGGGGAGGGGGGGCTTCCAGGAAAACTGAAATTCTCCGGGACATCTAGTGTTAGGAGGTGTTAATAGGAGATTTCCAAGTTCTAATAAAGCTAGAATTTCACTAAATTGTCAACTTACCACACCTGATTATCAATGTTCAAGCAAAGGCCTATTAAAGCAATGAGCTCATCCCTTCTCTCCACACTGTAATGTGCATAAAATAAAGGTATTTGATTGAAAAGCTTACATTTGTTCATAAGATGGAAACATCTACTGCATCATGAGGTTTAGAGTGTCTTGCACATCAAAGAAATACATATTAATATATGACACAGAAGACACACTTAAGACACAGTCAGGATGATTTTCACCACTTCCAGCAGTGTTTTAGTTTGGCTCTCTAATTGCAATGCATCCTGGGATACATTGAAGAACCACTTACTGAGATGACTTGAGTTTCATGTAACCGCACCATTATCTGGACCATTAGCTTCCAGTGTATAGGTTAAAACAAACAAAAAACAAGAACTGATTGTTTCCACTGTCTGGTTATCTAATATATGTCATTAGTTATCTATAAGCTGCTAAATTACAAATATTTCACCTAAATTTACTCTAATTTGTAACTGATTTATTTTCACTTCACACAACAGTTTTAGAAAACAATTTTAAGATCACAACAGTGTAACCATTTTTTTAAAAAGGTTTTATGATTCTGAAAGTCTCTGTGTGATTCATTGGCTTTGGCAGACACGTTTCACCAGGGTGTGTACCCTGGGAAACAAGTCCTATGCTGTGCTTTAAAAAAAAAAAAAAAACTTGGAAATCTAAATCTAGAAATGCAAAACTAAAAAAAACAAACCCCATTCAAAGCGTGTGCTGGGACCAAAGCAAAGAGCTGTCAGTCCTGCTCTAATAGAAACAAACTTGGTGCCAGGTTTACCAATGTTTTAGTAGTTTGCATGATCCCATAAGCTTAATAAAATATGCTTCGCTTTTCATTCTGGTAATAAGTTTTTACATGTAAAAAAAAATTGTCAGCAAAATCTAGAGAGTCATGTTAATTTCAATGCAGATACATTTTGAACGGTTCTTGAAGTCTTTCCTTTTTGCACGTTTCAGTCATTTATTTTTAGTTGTTTTTTTTTTGTTTTTTTTGAACCCAGTATCATCCCGTGACATTTCTGTAATCTGGAATAATTTATTGGACGTATTATGAATGCTTCCAGGAAAGTTTTTTCGGCCTTGTGATAAGGATGTAATAAAGTAATTTGGGTCAGTTTTAAACTGTACATGTTGGTCTGTCATTTCATTTACTCCCTTTACTACAAATACTTTTAGAAATACAAAAGTCCTATTAAAACGTCCTGCTTTGCTTCGCTTTTTTCGCACCATTACAGACATCCCAAGTTCCAAAAAATGAATTCCAGGGAGATGCTTATCCCTCAACCCCCTGCAGACAACGGACCCGCACCGTGCCCCATACATACAAATTTAAGGCCAGCAAGTTTTCAACAACTGTTTATTAACTAACAGTAATTCCTTAAACACTAAACAGGACAGTATTGGTCTTTTATTTTCAATACTTTCAATCTTGTAGCCTTGAACATCGGTTGTGCTTTCTGTTTTTCATGGGACTTCAGCATACAGTGCACCTCGCCACGGTGTCATCATTCCTCACCATGGCCGGTTCTAGACAGGGGCCCACGGGGGCCGGTGCCCCTGTAGATCATGTCCTGGCCCCTGCTATGGCCCCTTTACCGAAGACATATTACTTAAAAGAAATTCTAACGATGAAATGAGCTGGAGCAGACATAGTAACTGGTCCTTTGGATCTATTTTGATTATTTTTCTACAAATTCTGTTTATTATTAAAAAACAATAAGGTGATAGCTTCAGTGGGATTGAGATAGGATCCCAGTTTTCATCAGTTAATATTTTTTTTCCACAAACCAAAAAAAAATGCTGATTTTTTTCAGATGAATGTAACAGTTTTTCTTGAGTTCCAAATCAATTTTTATAGAAAACGGTAGTTTTAATTTAAATTAAGTCAAAAAATATGTAAAATTCCTAAATCATAAAGGATATTGAAAAGAAAATTCACTTCATGCAGCTCTCTTAATATATTTGAATCCCTTTTTATTTCATGCTTTTCTGGGCCCCCATGAAAACACGCTGGCCACCTTCTGGCCCCCTGGTACATTTGGTCTAGATCTGCCACTGTTCCTCACCTTCACTCCAGCTATCTAAGGGCGAGAGGAAGGGTACAGCCTGGACAGGTCACCAGTACTGTGCAGACACAAACAGGACAAACAACCACAAACACTCCTAAGGACAATTTAGAGAAGCCAATTAACCTAAGAGACAAGTTTCTGGACTGGGGGAGGAAGCCAGAGTATCCGGAGAGAACCAACGCATGCTCAGGGAGAACATGCAAACTCCATGCATGGAGCCACGAATCGAACCCAGAACCGTCTTGCTACAAGGCAGCAGTGCTACCCACTGTGCCACTGAGCAGCCTCCAATCCGCATGATGATGCGGGATATTGATGCACGAATTATTGTACTGTCTGTACGTTCTTACTGGCATTAAAAAAACATCACCTCCTAAAATCTGGGATAATTTATCCGACTCGCGGGCATCCGTGAATAACTATCTATATCAGGGAGACTCCCTGAACTTCCGGGAAACTTGGGATGTCTGTTTACATCTGCAAAGAGTCGTCCTTATCCACAATTGCGTAGGCGTAACCACTGCAGTCTCTGTTGACCGATATTTACGCCAATGATCTTAAGATAAGATAAGATAAGATAATCCTTTATTTGTCCCACAGTGGGGAAATTGCAGTTCATCTTGATGAACTGATCGCACAGATGAAGTTTTCAGGCGGACATTCTCACTTAACATATTCAAAACATATTAAAACTACTTTTTACCCGCTGACCACAGCCAATATAGCGGCTTTTCTTACAGGTAAAGGAAGGATGGGGCGCATCAGACGCACTTCAGCCGCGCGCCTGAACTAAACTGGTACAAGAATCAAAGACAAAGCAGCGCGCGGTCTGAATGTAATATTATTCTATGAAGTCAAGGATGCGCTGTGGTTTATTTTCTCTTTAAGGAGAGGTTTTCATTTCAGGTTTTGAATCTTTCTTTTAATTTCCTATTTGAAAGATTTCTGGTGCCACCAGTTACCGTTGAAAAAAACAAAAGATTTAAAAAATAACTTACTCGTGAATTTTTATCCATAGGAGCAGATAAGCAGGTCCACAGTTACCAAGTACTTCAATCCTTTCCTCAATCTGTTTGCTTCTGCTGTTCTTTCCTTCACTCCACCCACCCTCAGTCTTTTCCCCTCCTTCCTGTCATAGTACTCCTCACTGAACAAACATGAGCAGTGGGAGGAAACAAGTTTCATTCAAGATAAAAATAAATAAATAAATAACGTTTTCATTATTATAGATGAACAGTAGCAGACATAGCCAGTCAGGAAGGGAAAGATGAAACACTTTGTTTGCAACTTCGAAGAAAATTATCGTGTCCTATGATATGTGTAAAGACTGGATAAATTTCTCTCTGGTTTCATTTTATAGTTCCCTATGCGCACCTGTAACCAGCAATACGGTAGTTTCGAAATCGACTTGAAAAGTAGGGAGATTTACCAGAAACGAAACACAAAATCTTAACCAGCAGGAAGGAAATAAAAAAAACAAACGCTTATTTGAAGACTTGCAATGCAATGAATTTAGATAGATATGTATACATATCTAGATGTATATATATACACATAGATGTGGGACTTTGCATTGAATCAAAATGTCATTGGACTGGGAGATGATACTTCACTATGAGTGACTGAGGGAGAACTTATGTTTGCTTTAATGAACCAAGAAATTTGTTTATCTGGCTAGATTGACTTTAGGCAATTACTTTAAGGGCATTCCTCAATCAATAAAATCGCATAATGCATGTGTGGGTGTGTTTGTGCTGTGCACAGTTTATGATGCACAAC